TCGTTTTAGACCACCCCAAGAGAGCAAATCGAACATGACGACATTTTAAGAACGACAGGGTTTGGAAGATCGACTTCGAATCTCTCTCCGTTTATAATTTGGATGCTGGGGGGTGACTCTCGGAGACATGCTGCGACTCCCCGAAAGAAGAAACCTAGCTTCTTCTTGTTGTTGTGGTTGCAGTTTCTTTAGCGGTGTCAAAATTGCGGTTCAGCACATCGTATGTGGCATTTCTACTTGAAGTTTAAGGACCAGTATTTGGTGTATTGGCTCCAATGGAGAGCCCGACAAAGAATGCATCTGCAGCACGCCGGAGGACTTCGATCAGAGCATGAAGAAGCGAAAGGCGCGGACAACTGCAGCATCGACAAAAGGGATCCCGATGATCGTTGCAGCCTCTCAGTTGGTGTTGTGGAGGGTGCTCTTATAGCTGATTTTTAGAGGTTAGAGAGCAGGTTGAGGTTGCTGCCATTCCACCCCAATACATCTCGTTCGTGGGGCCGCCTCTGTCGCCAGGAGGGTGAAGATGCCCTTTGCCGGTCTCTGCAGGAGGTCTCCAGTCGAGTGTCCATGCGAGTGTGCGGCCTCTCTGGTCCTCTTCTTGTGGTACTCTGCTCTGGTCCTCTTCTCTGGTGATCTTCCGGTCCTCTTGTGGCCTTCCGCTGTCCTTTAGGGGTCGATGGTGGTCGTCCCGAACTGTTGGGTCCGAGTATCCGAGCATTTTGGCACGAGGTCCGGGAAAGTCTCACCAAGGAGGCCGCAGAGCGTTCCGCCAGGGACGAGGCCCTCGACATGAACACGCTGAACACGCCAGAGCTGCAAGAATCGCAGTTGCACAGAGTATATAGAGTTGCATGTTGAAAGCTTCGAGGCGCTGTCGCAGCAGGCGGCCGGTTTCCAGGAGCTGCTGCAGCAGGAGCCAAGAGCAGAGAAGAGAGAAGAGACGAAGGACAGTGGAGGGAACGATGGAAACAAGAGGAGCCAGAGAGCCTTCTCTCCCTCTCTCTCTCTCTCTCTCTCTCTCTCTCTCTCTCGTTTCTTTTTCTTACTCTGTTTTCGTCGTTTTTTTCGTGGTTTTTTATTCTCTCTCTCTCTCTCTTTCTCTCTCTCTCTCTCTCTCTCTCTCTCTCTCTCTCTCTCTCTTTGTCTCGAGGAGCGCGCCTCTCGCTCGGAGGCCCAGGAGGAGGCGCGCTCGGAGCGCTCCAAGGCCCTCCTCCGCGTGGCGGCCCTGGAGGCCCAGCTGGCGCAGGCGCCCCGACGCCCCGGCGCCCCCCCCCCCCCCAAAAGCAACTAAGCAGAACAAAAAGTAGCAACAAAAAGTAGCAACAGAAGAAGCCCTCTCTCCGTGTGGTTTTCATGGGCGGCTTTGCTCTCCTCATACTTCCTTGCACCGCAGCTTGCGGTGTGCAGGTGGGGGACGCCGTCGAAGCCAAGTTCCTTTCCTTGAGAGAACTGGTGAGCGGCGAGAAGGCCGCACGAAATGCCGCGGCCCGAGCTGGCCCGAGTGTCCAAAAACCTTAGAAGCTCACAATATCTCACAATCGTCTGCTGAGCCCGAGTCGAGCTTCTTTTCAGGGCGACATCGCCAAACTTGGGCAAGACCTGGCGGACCTGAACGTGACCATCCGCAGTGAGAAGGCGGGTGGGACTCGGTGAGGTGCCAGAATGCGCCCCGCTCCGACTTCCGACCTCCGCTCTCTCTCTTTTGTTTTTGTGCAGGATGCGGCGGAGAGGAGGTGAGGTTGTCATCATGCAGATCAGCACGCGTAGGGACCTGTAGGGGTCCAGAGCAATACCGAGACGGAACCTTTGTCACAGGCTGACAGCTTTCAAGGACACTCGTGACAAGGACACGGGAGCTGCAAGTGCACCAGAATGAAGCCTCCTTGCCCTTCGTGGTGCTGCAGGACATCGAGGAAAAGCTACGAGCCCATAGGCATGCTTTGGAGACCTCGCTTGATCGCAGGATCGCAGAAGTGAAGGACTGGATGGACTGGCAAACTGACAAAGCTTTGTTGTGTGAGACTATAGTATGAGGCCATGTGTGGAAAGAGCTCTTCATGACAGCTTTGGAGGAGTCCATCGATCAGGGCCTCACGCTGGCGAAGCAGGCGCGGGACTCCCTCCAGTTCGCCATGGACCGGGAGCGCGAGTCCCGGAAAGCCTGGGGCTGAGCGGGGGCTGGAGAAACGGGATCGAAAAAGCCAGAAAAGCATTTTAGCTCCTTCTCCCTCCCTTCCTTCTTGATGTTGCAACAGCAGAGAGCTCCCTGAAGTCGACACGAGTCCCAAATGGCCTCTCCACGGCCCTGCAGGCCTCAGTAGCCGCCCCGATGTTGCCCCGATCGATATTAGCGCCCCTTTGGGGAGTCCGAGAGTCCGAGTCAGCTGAGTCAGCTGAGTCAGCTGAGGCCCAGGGCGACACTCAGGTTGCCAACTTGGAGGCCTTGTGGCCTTTGCCTTTGCCTTTGTTGCCTCTCCTGACTTTGCCTCTCCCCTTCTTCCTGTCGGCTTCTCCTTCTGCTTCGCAATCCGCTCAGCACGTAGCAGCGCTGCGTTGTTAGTCAAGGCTGCTCGGGTAACTCTGCGTAGCGCTCGCAGAAGGGATGCTGCAAACAAACGGCAGGTCCTTCAAGAACAAAGGACTGCAAGGATGGAAAGGAGGGAAAGGGGGGAAAGGAAAGGGAAAGGAAAGGGAGGACGGCAGGGCCCCGGACAAAAACCCCATGGACACCTTTTGTGCTTTTCCTCCGGCGGGAGGGCCCCACGGGGAAAGCCGAGTTGGCGGGCGCTTCGCGGGAGTATACTATGTATGTTGTTTTATGTTGGTTTTTCTTTGTTTGGCGGAGTCAGGCAGAGGCAGGCCGAGGCAGGCCTCCTGTGTGTTGGCACCTTCGGTGGGCGCGTGATCTGGCCTGAATCTGTTTTGTGCCTTTCTTCTTTCAGTCGGAGGGGCCCGTGCGGGGAAACTACGGCCTTTGCTGTGCATGTTTGGCGGGCGGGCCCAGCAGGTTAGGAAGCTGCACTGATGTCTATTTTTCTCTTCTTCTGCTAAGAGCTTTGAGCTGCGCTGGCTGAGCTTTGCACTATTCCGAATCGTTTTTCCATGTTGTCAATCTGAATCCTGGGCTATGGTGGACCTCCCCTTTGACAAACTGGGTTGCCTGGCCGCTGTAGATGGATTTAGAGGGAATCCTTGGTTTTCCGGGCCCCCCGGCGGGTATCGGAGTTTCGAGCTTTGGGCTGCAGACTTGAGAAGTGAAGGCCAGCCTGCCAAACGTCAACCAACGTCAGTTCTTAAACTCTAATCAGGCTGCTTGAGGTTTCAGGAGGCTTTGGGCTGCAGCTTTGAAGGCCGGAGGTTTTATGTGTCAGATCTTGCTAGTGGGGGGGGGGGAAGGGGAAGGGACGTTTATTTTGGAAGTCAATTCCGGGCTAGTTCATTATTCACCTTCAACAAGATTCCGCACAGTTACGAACCACTTTTTCTTGTTGACTTTGGGCGGCATGGGTCCCGTGGGAGGAGCTGTGGCATTTTTGGGTGTTTTTGGGCGGGCCGCCCCTCCTGGTGAGGAAGTTATTCTTGTTGTCAAGCAGTCCCTGCTCACTTCACAAGACCTTGGAATCCAAATTAGGAGGTCCTTGCTATGACAATTGCCAAACCAAAGCCAAACCATAACTTTAAAGCTACGCGGGGGTACCCTTTCCAACAATTGGGAGGATTTGAAAGGGGGGTGCCTGTTCTCACAACCTATACACCTTCGGCCCGAGGCCTTGTGCGTTTGAAGCCTGTCGGCAGACATGCACGGAGCCAAAGGATATGCCGAAATGCGGTGCCGAATGGGCTGTTTTATTTGACACGTTTGGAGCCTACGAACTTAGGCAAAAACACTACTCTACGAACTTGGAGCCTGCGAACGGATTTATATGCTGTAATGTCGAGCCTTGTGAACTCCGACCCTGTAGGGTTTGATCTTTTTGGAGATTTTATCACCGGATTTTGTTTTGTTTTGGATCCTTATTTGAACCTTTTAATCCCTCACCAGTGTGGGTGGACGGCGAGCAGGTAGCGCACGGTCAAGGCAGGGAAGTGGATGGGCAAAGCATCGTCTGCACCTTGGCCAGGCACGCTTGGAGCCAATGCTGTCGCGCCTTGGTCAAGCAGAACGCCAAACCGAGGCCCTCAGCAAGATCTGTTTAGTAAAGCGTTTGACAAGGTTGCTTAGTCCAGCAGAGCTGAGACAATTTTGGAGGGAAGTCCAGAAAGCCAAGAATCATCGCCAGAAACCAGATTTGAAGAAAGATGGGCGGTGAAGGAACACGCCCATGGGAAGCCGCTTCTTTTTCTCTTTATGGTGCAACCCTCGCTCTTTTGGAGCGCGGGGAGGCCCTGGCGTCGAAAGCTGAGAGGACCTTCCAGGCGCCCGCTGACTCTGGTGCCCCTCTGGCCTCTGGCCTGCCCGCTTCTCTCTCTCTGTGCCGTGTTCTCTGCTCTCTCCCTCTCTCCCTCTCTCCCTCGCTCCCTCTCTCTCTCCCTCTCCCACGTCAGCTTCAGAGGAGCACCAGAGGCTTCACGCCATGGTCGAGGAGCTCGTCGATTGTTTCTTGCATAGGGAGCGGTGTGTGAGTTTCGCGATCTCTGGAGAGAGAAGGAGCGAGTCGAGGGCGAACGCCGAGAGCTGCACGCTTGGAGGGCAGCTCGTCTGCAGTCTGCTGCCTTCGCTGCAGTCTTCTGCCCTCGCCTTCGGCCTTCGCCTTCGGCTACTCAGCCTTCGCAGTGCTTGAAACCCGGTCAACAAACCTTGGCTCACAGTGACAGGCGGAGCTGGATGTGCTGAAGAAGAAGAGTGCAGAGGCGGTCACTTGTGTGGGAGCTGCAAAAAAGCGGGCGCTGCAATCGCCTCTTCGTTTTTTGGGCGGTCCGCTCACAGGCCGAGCAGTTTCACAACGAGGTGAAGAAGATCAAGGTGCATCAGCACGCATCTCTTTTGTGCGGTGGAACATGCTGTCTGTAAGTGGTGCACCCCTGTGTTTTGTTGTTGCGCTCGATCCTCCGACCTATTGAGACCCTGCATTTGCTTTGCATGCTTTTGGGGGGCCGAGAGGATGCTCTGGAGCAGCTTCCCCGCGACGTGGGTGGCCTGATCACCAGCCTGCAGGGGAGGCACCTGAGAGAGAGCACAGGGAGGATCACCTACACAGAGATGTGTTTTGGCAACTGCGCGCTGAGAGAAAAAACCACTGAAAATCACACGCAGAGAGAGACCCCCATTCTGATTCTGAGCCCCATCCGTGTCGAGAACACGGGGAGAGGTGCGGGGGCCTCGAGGCCGAGCTGCGCCAGGAGATTGCTGTGGGTCCTTTTGTTAGGGGGGGGGGGGGGGGGGAGAAGGCGGAGAGGAGCACGAGGGGCTCGAAGAGCTGATTTCTTTGTTTTAAGAAAGGCGGAGCCCCCCGCCCCCCCCGCTGTGATTATTCGGGGTTTGCACTGCCTTGTGCTAGCATTCTCTTGCGCTGCATCGCATTCTTCCCCCCCAGAAAAGCTTCTCTTTTGGAAAGCATAGCCCCTCCCAGTCCTTTTGTTGAAAGATCAAAGCAGATTGGCAGGCGATCCCCCCTTTGACCCTTCCCCCTCCCTCAGCGCCATCGAGGGTCACTCGGGCGGAGGAAGTGCACGCAGCTGGTGTGGCCCGGCGCGAAGCCCACGAGCGGGCCTTGCGCATGGAGGAGGCCTCAAAACGACTCGAGGCCCGAAGTGAGCCAACGTATGAGAAAGTATTCGGGGGTCATCAGTTGAAAGCAGAAGTTCGCAGTCTTCTTGAAATTTGAAATTTCTTGAAGCAGAGTTTCAATGTGTGTAGAGATCTTTTCGCTTCGAAGAAGAGTTGTTGCGAGCTCTGCCAGGAACGATTGCAGCTGGAAGAGAATTTCACGACAAAGTTGCCTGGATGTAGCTGGTGTCGCCACACCAGCAGTTGCTCTCAGACTTGTTCATGCTTGCCACAGCCTAGTCATCTCCAGGACCTGCTCCTGTGCATGTCTGCCACTTATTCCTGCACCATAAATCCTGTGACAAGAAACAGGGAATACCGAACATCAGTTGCATCCACCTCTGACATGTCATACACGGCTGTGGGGTTGATGGAGGGCTTGCAGTTCAGAGCGCATCAAGCCAGGTGCCTGCTTTCCTGCTTGTGCCTTTCGAGTGCTTTCTGCACATCGTCGATGAAAACCCGATTTTTGCTCTCGTCTTTCCCTCTTCGAGAATGGCGTCCAGCAACAGACCCGCTGAAACCACTGCTCTGGTCGCTTTGGCTAAGCGGCGCTCCAGCTTAAGGCTGTCCAAGCAGGACATGCCCATCAGGACATGCCCATCCTTGAAAGTGCTGAGTCTTCACCGCAGTCTCTCAAAATCTACCGAGCCAGACAGAGTCTAGCGACATGGGTACATGCAGCAAGGTTCTTGGTATCAACAGTGTCGCTTCTTCTCGGAACTGGCCCCTTCATTGTACTCACTTCGAAATCAACCAAACCAACGGCCTATTGAGTCTATCGGAGTTTCCATGCACGTCCGGGAAATCGGGTACTTTGACGAAACCATGCTCTTGATGAAAGCGTGTTCTTTTCCTTTATTTTTAATATATCTTAATGCATTTTAAATTAATCCACGTGCATTGCGATTTGATTCGTCCATTTTTAAGTCTTCATTGTTCATATTATTGTCATTTTTTCATCATAATTTCCAACATTAATATCAATTTCAACAAAATCCACACTGTTGACTATCACTCAAAATGGTCACCAATCGTATGGTTTTCACTTTTCTGTCAGAATCAAATAGTTTGATTGATTTTGGATGTTGAAAAAATTTAATATTGTGTTCCTCGTCTTTCCCCTTTCGCCCTTGAGCAACTTGCTGTTTCGAGGAACCAGCACTGCTCGACGTGCCCTGGGGGGGGGGACTATGAGCACTAGTCGCAAAGGCAGAACTACCCCCAGCACCGACACTCGCAGGCCTGGCAAAAGAAGCATGAAAACTTGCCTTGCGGATGTCGGGAGGGCACTTTGGAAGCCGTGTTGAAATCCCAAAGGCTAATTACACGGTCCAGTCGCGGTGCTGAGTAGTATTGAGAGAGCGCGTGGCAGTGGAGCGGTGATCATCGTCGTTTTGGTGGTTTGCTCAGTCAAACACGAGTAGATGCGATGATCTTGAACGACCCCCCCCCCGACGCCGAACACATGAGCTTGAGCCGAACCGGTTGGCACATGTCAACTCAGAGTCACTTCGCACTTCTTTGCCAGTTTACATGAATCATGTCATTGGGAAGAGCACGAGGTCCAAGCCCAACCCCTGGCCCAACCCCATCCCAACCTCAACTGTTGAATGTCGTACCTGCATGGGCTGTAGCCGACAGTACTTGTCTTGCAGCAACACGTCGACCGGTATAAAAGAGTGCGTTCCGAATCTAGCAAACGAGTAGTATGAACAAGACCCAGGTTGAAGCAGGCTGCCAGGTGAACGCGTTGTGAACGCTGAAGGGTGAATGGGTGGATAGTGATGGATCTTTCCGATTCGAGTCATTCGGGTAGTTCTCTAACTCAGGTTCCCTTTTCGTTCCACGGCACCTTGAAATAAAGGAGACCGCCCCCCAAAAGGCACTCTAATACCTAGAGAACGGCCCATATAGGGGGAAAGCCTCCGCCTCGAGCGACCTTGCCTCGGCCTCGCCTCGGCCTCTTTTCAAAGAAGTCCACAAGTCCTCATAAGGAGGGGCGAGGCCCAAAGAAGGGGCGGGCAAGTGGGCTTTAAGTTTTTCAGAGACTCCACCTTTTCTGTGTCTTACAGGCCTCGGTGCAAAGTGTAAAGCGTGAAGCCTTCCATGGCAGCTTGCCCAGGAGCTCCGTTCAAAGTCAGCGGAGCTTCTGCTCCGAGTCTGCTCGATGCAGCCCCGCTTGCATGGGGCGGCATGGGGCGAGACATTGCTGAATGCCACAATACAGAATCCGAAAATGCTGAGCACATTGCGCGCTTGGGCGTGGGAGAAGATCTTTGTTGACTGATTTGGAACCTTTGCTGACCTTTTTTGGCCATGTGGCTGTAAGCGATGTCCTTCATGTTCTTGCCGTCACTACACATTGACAGGTTCTGGTAGGTAAGGCGTGCCAAAGGCACTTCGAATAGTCACACGAGTTTGACCACCTGAATCCCATCTTCCACTGATGAACTGTTCACGAAAGCTAGCTCCTTGGAGCTTGCAAATTTTTCGTTTGCAAACCTGTCTCTCTGGTGTTCAGGTGGGTCAACAAGCGACTAACTGGTATGAAAATCAATAAGTTAAAGGGCTGCGTGGGTTAAGGAGCTTGAGACCCTCGCTCCGTGGGACTTTGCAAGACCAGGCCTTGTGTGTCTGGACGTTTCTGTCAGGCATATATTTTCCAGGCAGAACTAAGTAAACGCAGTTAGCAAGCACAGCGGAGAGACTTCGCTGCCCCTCGGTCGTGTTGAATGCGGCCCTTCAAGTGTATAGGGGAGCAAGAATCTTGGTGAGGGCCGAGCGGCGCCCCCCACCCCGATTTCATTATTATTAATTGGTATTAATTAAATAAGAAATAGAAATGTAAATCTAAGTTTAAATATAAATATAAGTATTAATATTATTATTTTAATATAGAAATGAGTATATATATATATATATATAGGCCACATTGGTTGATGTCCCGTGTTCGTGCACATGAGCTGGGGTCAGCAAATGTTCGTCAGACTCCAGTCTTCTGAGCGCTTGCACCTGGTTTGTGCACACGCGGCAAATGCGGGCTGCCTTACAGAATTATTTTGGAGGAAGACCCGGTTCCGGGATAATTAGGTTCCGAATAAGTTTGGAAATGTTGAGAAGCCATAGTGTTGCCTAACGTCGTGGTTGCGGAATTCCGGTGACTGTGCGGGTGAAAGCGCGGGGGGCAGGGTTCAGATTCTTCAAGAATGTAAATGAGAACAGCTGATCTCTGAAAACCTGCGGCAACTTTGTCTTGTTCCCGTCGCACCCCGATCAATTTGATTGCTGAGTTTCTGTGGGCAGCGTGGTCGAAAAGCCGGACGACAATATTGAGGTTCTTGAAAAAGCGGAAATCAGAAAATCGGATCCCTTAGAACCAATGACGATTTTTGCTTGTTTGCGTTGCGCCCCGACCAATTCGGTTGCTGAGTTTCTGCGGGCTGTGCTGTCGAAGTGGCGGGCGGCCGGATTGAGATTCTTCAGCAAACGGACGTCTGAGAGCCAGCGTCGACTTTGTCTTGTTCCCGTCGGACCCCATCAATGTGGTTGTCAATGAACGGAAATACGAAAGTCTGATTTTCTCAGAGCCTCTGACGATTGTGATCGATTTCGTATATGCCCTAAACCCGAAACCCTGAAACAAAACCCTCAACCTGAATTCAAAACCCTGCACCCTGAACCTTAAGCCCTACCAATTTTGAGGAAGAATATTGTACCTTAAACCATTGAAGCTCAAACCGAAACCCCAGAATCCTAAAACCTCAAAACGCAGAGCCCTAATTGTAAACGCTTGCGCGCCCGCAGGAAAGGAGGAAAGAGGGCCTCAAAAAAAGGGAGGGGGTATCCCGGGCAAGGGGGGGTCCCAGGGAAGGTCATGGGGGCTCCCAGAAGGGGTCCCTGGCCAACTTCGTTGGAGCGCCCAGCTGCTGACAGGCCGAACTCCCCGGCATCAGTTTGCAGCTCCTCCAAGCAATGGGGGGGGGGGGGGTCCCACAAGGCCGGGGGGGGACAAAAGTTGGCACGGAAGGGTGGGTTGTGGGGAAGGAGACCGGATCCGTGTCTGCTTGTTCCAAACACTGCTCGGCAGGAAGCCGAGCCTAATCCCCAGAATCTTAAAATCATCAGGCCCCTGGCCCCTCCAAGAAAGCCTTAAGCCCTAGAATCTGACACCTTGGAATCCCTGCAGGGTGCAGAGTTCTGGAGCACAGGAAGCATGCGCAACACCATCAAAAAGTTGTCGCACAATTCTGTATTCAACACAGTTGAATTGGTTTCTTTTGGGAAAACATGTTTCTTCAATCGCGTTAAACAAATCTAGGCGGCACTAGGTTCTGTGGGGAAGCAGCGCTCAGGAGGATTTGGGGTTGACTGTTTGGGATCAAACGTGCTGGGTGGGTGCTGCGAAGCAGCCATCGGGCAGGTGTTCTGAGTAGACGCCTGCAGCAGGTTTGACGTCACATGTGTCGCATGAAAATTCATCTGACCAGATTGTACAATATTGTGCTTGTTGTAGTGAACTGATTCAGGTAGAACGCGTTCTGAACCTCTGTAGCAGTCGCCTGTGTTAACTCGTGGTCTTGAGCGTGAGCGGCGTCGCCATGCAGAAGAATCCCGTACCCGAGAAATGGAAGAAGGCCGGGCAGACGACGCAGATTTGGTTTGTTTAAAGGTTCGGAAGCTGCGAATTCGACATGTGGGGACCAGGAGCCCGAGCTTCGAGTGGCGCTGGCCCGCAAAAGCTTGGCCTACCTGTCTCGCGAGCTGCAGGAGTTTCTGAGAGAAAATGGTGTGAATCCAGCATAATCCAGCTATGCACGGAGCCTCAGGAGTTCATTGCGGCAGGGTTCGCACGAGAGCAGAAGACGAGGACTAAAGCCTTTTGGTAAATGGCTAGGTGTAGCATTCTCGTTGTTGTGCTTCCGAGGCTCCATATGCTTTCTTTTGGAGTCTCTCGTAGGCTCGATGACACCCTGAATGCGTTGAAGGCTTCAAGGGCCGACGAGGAGGGGGCAAGGGGAAGGACATGCGGTTGTTTTCTGTTTGGTGCTGTGCTATGCTATACGTCGCCGACTTTAGGAAACGCGGCAAAACTTGCTGCTGGCGATCCGCAAGGCTCGGAGGCTGCATCTCATGTCTCATGTCAGCTCACTGCTCCGCCGAATCCAGGAACTGCCATGCCTGCCAGCACAGCAAGCGGAGCAGCACCTATGGCGAGCCTTTCGCCACAAGGCTGTGGTTGCCGACTCTGCATGATAGGTCTACATCAAGTTGGTCGTTCTGCAGGTGAACTCCCTCCGCTGCTTGGGGCAGAGAGCGGTGCTCCTCGCACTTCAGGCTGGGAGGTGTATGAGCGATTCAGGCCATAATTCGATCCCCGGTCAGCCAGTCAGCCAGTCAGCTCCTACTTGTGTCATTTGGAGGTCTCGAGCCGTGAAGGTGCAAAGGATCACACAGGAGCCTGCCATGCATCCGAATCATCAGATGCGCGGAAGCGCCGCCGCACGGAGGCCTCGGCAGCCGAGGGCGGAGAAAAAGGAGGAGCGCGTGACAAGAGCAGGGACGAGGGCCAGAAGCTACTCTGTCATCCGCATTGGAGGGCGTATTTTTTGCTTCACTTTTTTTTTTTTTTTT